CTCTCTCTCTCTCTCTCTCTCTCTCTCTCTCTCTCTCTCTCTCTCTCAAAGCCCACCTTACCCTACCCTTGCTTCCATCATTGCCCAGGATAGCACAGTAGTATGAAACCCTTGCCCATCATGAGCATTAATGGCCATTAGTGCATGTACTACCTACAATAGTTCTACATGTAACACCATCCTGAATTACAAAGTAATGCTCCTGGATCGCTTCCAGGACACACTGAGTCTCAGTCCTAATGTTTTCTCTATTTTATCCTTTATTGTTTATTATAATTAAAAAAAAACACCCTCCTTTCCCCATCACTACCCTTTTACATGGATCATGGATAATCCATGAAGTAACAGAAGTATTAACAGTTAATCAATAATGTTGCACTTGCTCAGAAGTTCTCGTTCTCTCTCCCTCTCTCTCCCCCACCCCCACCCCCAGGGATGGTGGGGACAGAACCAGCAAATGCCATACTTATTGCAAATCTTGTTCTTGGATCCAGCTTCAGGAAGCTCCAGTTAAGCACAAAGCAAACTATTAACCCTTCTACTCTTATGAAACTTAGCTAAAATAAATCTGCTAAGTGTCGAAGATACCAAAGTGGTGAAAGGACAGAGATGATTAACACATTCCACTGATGTTTCCTGATCCATTATGTTTTCCTTTTGCTATTATTCTCAGGGAAACAGGAAAGCCGTCAGGCGGCTCTCCAGTAACAGGAAGAGGGATCCAGTCTCTCAGAACACAGTGTCTCCACCTTCCTATATTCCAGTAGCAAGGGAAGGGAGAGGGAGGGGGAATCCCTTTGACAGGCTCCGAGCCCAAGGGTGTATCTTCTCCGGGGCTTTCGCAATGACCCAGAGTCATGGAAAAATATGCAAATCTGCTTCCTCTTGTAGTCCACCTGATCGGATCATGCTGGTTCCCCATGTGCCATACGGGTGGGAGCAGCAGCCACTGGGCGAAAAGGGGTCGCACCCACGTTTGGCCCATGGAAGCCGCCAGGCTCAAGCAGTGGCATCTCCACTCACTGGGGTGGAAAAGACTTTTGGGAGCAGCTGCCCTCTCCGATTTGGTGCCCTTGAAGTATGTTTGACTGCAGCTCACACTTCCCAGCCAACCAATGACTGGCTGCATTAAAGAGCAAAGGGGCGCATGAGGTTGTCCTACATGGTCCTTCCAACTCCGGGTCTATCTCATTGCAGTCTAACCTGGCAGAAGTGGCTGCCCAAGACCCCAGGCAGGGCAACCTCCCAGCCCTGCTTCTGTGCTTTAACCAGGAGATGGCAGGGCCCCATGGGACCCCAAAAGCAGGGCTCTGCTACTGGCCTGTGGCCTCTCCCCAGCACACTGAGTTTTCATAGAGAGCAGAGCATCTTCCTCTCATCCTCCCGGAGGAGCCTGCAGCAGGATTCAAACAGGTGGGCAGAATTCACTCTGCCAATCGACCGCCAAGCTATGTTTAAAGCAATTCACTGCAACATATGAAACTCTCTGCAACCTGTGACCTCAAGACACATGCCCCTCTCCACCAGCCTCTCTGGCCACAGACCTCTCTGGGGAGACTCTGTTGTCCAGGCCACTGCCTACAAATTTCCATTGCTTGGCAACACTGAGCTGGGCCTCCTCTGCCATAAGACTCACCCCAAAGAATTATCTTCCCCCATCAGCGGTCAAGATGGGCACCTTTCTTCAGGGTTTACTGAAAACATATGCTTACATTGGCTTTTGCTCAGCCATAAGCTAAATTTGAACCTACCTCTAACAGTGGTAGTGACTCCACTAGTGTCTCAGAGCCTTCAGGGGAGGAGCCAATGCTGCCGTCTGGTCCACAACTGATGGATGAATTTCAGTTGTTGCGGCCTGATGATGTGGACAAGGTGCTTGGACAAGTACAAGCTACCACCTGCTTACTGGACCCTTGCCCATCTTGGCTACTCAAGACAGCCAAGGACGGGATTGGGACCTGGATCCTGGAGGTGGCCAACGCCTCTCTAAGAGATGGCCGGGTACCTGCCCCTTTAAAGGAGGCAGTAGTCCGGCCTGTCCTAAAGAAGGCATCCCTGGATCCAGAGATGGCCACCAATTATAGACCGCTGGCCAACATCCCGTTTCTGGGCAAGGTGTTAGAGCGGGTGGTGAAGGGACAACTCCAAGCACTCTTGGATGAAACTGATTATCTGGACCCATTTCAGTTTGGCTTCAGACCCGGGTATGGTACTGAATCTGCCTTGGTCGCCTGTATGATGGCCTGTGCAGGGAGAAAGACAGGGGGAGTGCATCCCTGTTGGTTCTCCTGGACCTCTCAGTGGCTTTCGATACCATCGACCATGGTATCCTTCTGGATAGGCTAGCGGGATTGGGGGTTGGGGGCACTGCTCTGCAGTGGTTCCGCTCCTATCTCAATGGCCGATTCCAGAAGGTGGTGCTGGGGGACTATGGCTCTGCGCCATGGCAGTTATGCCATGGAGTTCCGCAGGGGTCCATTTTGTCCCCCTTGCTATTTAACATCTACATGAAACCACTGGGAGAGGTCATCAAGAGGTGTGGGCTGCGGAATCATCAGTACGCGGATGATACCCAGCTCTACCTCTCTTTCTCTACTGATCCAGGTGAGGCAGTGGCTGTACTGAACCGGTGCCTGGCTGAGATAATGGGCTGGATGAGGGCCAATAAACTGAAGCTCAATCCAGACAAGACGGAGGTCCTGTTGGTTGGTGGATTGGGCTTTGGGATGGGGGACTTAGACCTTGTCCTGAATGGGGTTGCACTCCCTCTTAAGGACAGGGTCCACAGCTTGGGAGTGCTCCTCGACCCAGAGCTATCATTAGAAGATCAAGTGACAGCGGTGGCGAGGAGTGCCTTCCTTCAGCTTCGGCTGATCCATCAGCTGCGTCCCTACCTGGAGAACGACTGCCTGGCAACAGTGACACATGCACTGGTAACTTCCCAATTAGACTTCTGCAACGCTCTCTGTGTGGGGCTGCCCTTGAAGACGGTCCAGATACTTCAATTGGTGTAGAATAGAGCTGCCAGGCTGCTGACGGGGACTGGGTGTTGTTCTCATATAACCCCAGTCCTCTGTCAGCTCCACTGGCTCCCCATTGAAGTCCGGGCCCAATTCAAGGTGCTGGTTATCACCTACAAAGCCCTGAATGGCTTAGGTCCTGGTTACCTAAAGGAGCGCCTGCGTCCATATATGCCCCCCCCCGCCCCTTGAGATCGGCGGCAGATGCCCTTCTCCGGGAACCCTCTGTGAAGGAAATTAGGAGGGTGAGTACCCGGAGGGCTTTCTCTGTGGTGGCGCCCAACCTATGGAATGCGCTCCCCAGAGAGGTCCGCCTGGCACCATCGTTATTTGTTTTTCAGCGCCAGGCCAAGACATTTTTATTTAAACGCTATTTTAATTGTTAAGGTTTATTTGTTGATTTTAAACCAGGCTGTTTCCACTATTTTATGTATTTTATTTATTCTATGAATTTTTTTTGTATTTATACGCAGGAATTTAATGATTGTAAGCCGCCCCGAGGCTTATGCGATGGGGGCGGCATATAAGCTGTCTAAATAAATAAATACGGGAATTTTCTGTATTTTTGGTACTCCTTGGTAAACTGCCAGTGGGTTTGTTCAATGAGGATGCTTCAACAATGCTAATACCAGTGAGCGGCTGGGAGCTTCCAGGTCAATCATGGGATCTACCAGCTGGAAGGTAGCCTTGAGGCACTGACCCACCGAAGAGGAAGAGCTAACCCCAAGCACACCTTCCACACCTTTCCTGCTTTCCTCTCGAACAGGTTCCTTTCCTACCTGCGCAATGGAGCAGACGCTGGCTTCCACCTGTCGGACTTCATTGGCTTGCAAGTCTAGCATCTGGAGGATGCCACTGGCCAGGCTGCTGATTTGGTAGGCCACGCTGGCCAATGACTGAGTCGTGAAATCCATGGTTTTCTCCAGGGCTTTCCGTTTGTCTTGTGCCTTAAAGGTATTGAAAGAAAGAAAGAAAGAAAGAAAGAAAGAAAGAAAGAAAGAAAGAAAGAAAGAGTTGTGCAAAAAATCAGAAGGACAGAGACACAGTCACTGCCCACTTGCTCCTGGGGTGTGACATACAGGGGAGAAGATCTTTACCTGCCATAGATTCTGTCCTTGGGTTACATTGTGCCACTGATAAGGTGGTGAGGATTTTAGGCACTCTGCGATAGGAAGTGTTCCTGTTGCAGCCAGAGTGTGCACTGTCTTATGACTTCTTTAAAATACTAGGGGGAGACAGAAAGGTCTTACACCTCCTAGCTGGCTGGGGAACTCGGGAGATGGTTGAAAAACATTTGTCTAAGCATGCACAGAATCGGGCTCTAAACAAAATTGATACTCCCAAAGGGGCAGTTTGGTGTTTCACACAAGGTAGCCAAGCGTCCTGCTTTACTGAGGACAATGCCCTACTTTGGAGAGCAGGCAGAGGACAGTTCTGTGTTTGATGACTGTCCAGTCCAAGTCTGGCTTAAGTCAAAGAACCCTGAGGAGGGAGAGCATTGAGGGGCCGTGAAGCTGCCCATCAGCCCGAGCGGCAGATTCAGCAGCCATCACGACCTCCTCTCTACCATGATGAGATATCACAGACTTCTTTTGAAAGCATCAGCGCTACATTTGCTCCTATGGACAAACACGGGGACTCTCACCATCTTTAGTCCTTACTTTTGGTGCTGCATTTCGTCTTCTTTGGCAACATGTTAGAAGCCTTCTAGTTTCACATCCTTCAGGCCAAACAAGCAAAAACTTGTTGCAATACAAGTAGACTACTTTTATTGTCTACCATATTTTAAGAGATGTAAATGTATTCAACAATTTATTCTAAGCTGAAAGAAAGGTACAATTACTCTCGTAGTGCAACTAGAGCTACGAGAGGGGAGGGCTGCCTAAATACGTGGTGGGCACTGTTCCTAGATGGCTGAGGAAAACATGGGGAGTTTGCCCTGTGTATTTCAGGAAAGTATTTTTTCCCTTCGTCTCTCATGCATGAGGCGTTTATTGTTTGCTGGCGATGCCTCACTCTCAGTCATTTGTGGGCATTTCCCACAATGTCATCATCTGCCAAGGCCTCTCCCGAGCTTTCTGTGAATATTTTAGAGTGAGGAGAGTGTGCTTTCATCTGGAAATGGCCAAATGAACTTGGACGTTCATTCAAGTTCGAATGAAGATTGAAATTTCATTATCCCACAGCATCACCTTGTGGTTGCCTTCTAATGGGACAAAAAGAAAGGAAAGGAAAGAAAAGGGGGGAAATCACATATAAAGGAACTAATCTTCACCCTCCCAGGAATCTAGAAGCAGATGCCTCAGCCAAGTGGCATGATGGGAGCCTCATGCAGAGAAGCCCTGTGAGGCCCCCAACTCCACAGTGTCCTGTTCCCCATGTAAACAGAGGTTGTTCCTCAGCATGGACCTGACAGCAGTCCAGCAAGCCTGCAAGCGGGCAATCCTGTGGAGCTACCCTTCCATCTGGGAGCCAGCCACACCATCAGCTACCTGAGAGCCTAGATCAAGCATCTGCCCCAGCCTGAAGCTCTCCAGATCCTCTGGACCTCACCTCCCATCATCCCCACCCAGCATGGCTGGAGCACGGGCATGATGGGAGATGTCACCCAAACTTCTTCTGGACACCAACGGGGGGAGGCTGGCCCAGGCTTTCCCACTGCAGTCCCAGCATGCCCCTAGATGTCTTCCTTGGACTGTGCTGGGCGGCTGGTGGCAGGTGGCAGGACCAGCCCTGGTGTATACCTGCGGCAACTCACCTGCGCATAGTTGCTCTCACAGTAATCGGCCACTTGGAGCAGGTTGCTGTAGTTGTCCCGCAGGACGCCCCGGGCACGGGGGATGGCGTTTTGCATCAGCTCCTGCAACTCAGACATGCTGCCGCTCAGCCACTTCCTTCTGGCTTAGTACATGCTGTTTCAGCACAGGGGTTTCAAACCTCACCGCTCTTCTGGGGAACGTGAGTGCAGGCATGGGCCGGCCGGGGACTCTTTTATACTTGAGTTGCTTCCTGCGGCAGGCTGGCTCCTCCCCTTGGCCTTGCTCAGAGAACTTCTGGCTGACGACCTCGAGACTTATTGCTGGCCTCAACCACGCAGTGTGCAGGACGATTCCTAGGAACGAGTGCGCACACCTCCATTCTACGCTCACGAATCGAAACATCCATTTGCTTTGCGAGAACAAAAATGAGAGAGCTAACGGAGGAAATGTCGGGGTGGAGTGAAGTGGGGAGGAACCGTCAGCAGAGGAAACCAGTATTTTTAGAAGCACAATTGATCTCAGAGATGCTGGGACTTCAGAGCTGGCTTTTACAACTAAGCACACACACCAGGTGGATGTCTACTGCCCCTCTGAGAGGGATGGCACTTTTGCAGGAGCAGCCGCTGAGCATTCCCAGGAACACTTTGGGGCACACGTTTCTGTATGCTGTGACCATCTAGGGAAGGAGGTTGAGCGTGGGTGCAGAACCGTGAGCCTGCAAGCCTGATATCAGCAGCTCTCGGGGGCTGAGGAGCCACCGGGTCTCCAGGGGGCAGTGCTTGGCCTCTAACCCCCACCTTCTGGAGGAATCCAGCTGTTCACTCTGATCTGAGACAGCAGTGGGAACATGTGCCAGCAGGAGCCTTGGCTAGCTCTGGGGAAAGCAGCCACTCTTACTGGTCTGATCTGATCTGATCTGATCTGAGACAGCAGTGGGAACATGTGCCAGCAGGAGCCTTGGCTAGCTCTGGGGAAAGCAGCCACTCTTACTGGTGCTAGCTGGGCCCCTTCAGATGGGGAAGCCAACATGAGGTGCCATCTCAAAGCAGGGATTTGCCACACTGGGAGGAATGGTTGAGTCCCTTTCCGTGGGCTGAGAAAGGCATGAAACTCCATCCTTCTATTTACACGCTGTTTTATACCCCTAACACAGAGCCTAATGCTACTATGTGTAGGGGAGTCTCCTTGACTCAGGAAGAGGAGACCTGGACAAGAACAGGCCCATTGCTCTTCTAAAACAATACATATACATATACACATGAAGCTCACACAATAAAAATAAAATTCACAATAATCTACAAAAATATAAAACAATACATATAATAAAGTTGTTGTTGTTGTTGTTGTTCTAAATGGGTCCAACAGACACATGTTATTGTAAGTAAAATCATTTGCTTATTCAGGTAGACCCACTCCCAACCCCCTTCCAAAATTACATTGACTACTGTAATGTGACGACACAACGATTCTCCTTTATTAAAACATATTCAGTAAATGGTCTCCAAATATATCTGAAATTATTGTTACTTATCAAACCATTTTTCAGCTCAATTTCACAAGTTAGCTTATCATTAATAGCTATTTTCCGAACGTCTTTTTCCCAATCACTTACTTGATAGTCACATTTTACTTTCTAGTTCTTTGCTATTATTAATCTGACTGCTGTTCCCAAATTTATCGTCAGCTCTTTAATGTTTTGTCCCCCTTGTTCTCCATCTAATATTGACTATAATGCAGGTCCAGAGTCTACTCCAATAATTAAATTCAATATTTTACTAACTTCTTTTAAAACCATTTTCTAAAACGTAATTATATATTCACATTCCCACCACATATGAAAATATGTACCCACCTCCCAGCTACATCTCCAACATATATTGGAATATTTATTATTCATGTAATGTAATTTTACCTCTGTTAGGTATCATTTCCATACGAATTTGTAAAAAATACTTAACCCTTATCGATATGCTTTTTAATGTTCTCTTATCCCACACATTTCTCCATTCTCCATTACTAATACTCCTTCTTAAATCTATTTCCCCAGATGCTTTTTGAAGATCATAGTGGCCCATTCCTTAGTCCATTTCAGAGTCCATCACCTTGGCTGGATATTGTAATGTGCGCAGACTGTGAGAGCAGCGCAGCGCCTCTGTCCCAGTGCCATTCAAGGTCCAGCCCAGAGGACACAAAATACAGAGGCTACGCCCAGCATTACACCAGTGGAACCATGACAGGTTTCGGTTGGGATCCAGTAGCAGTTCCACTGATGGTTGCACCACCACCAGGAAGTCATCTAGTACAACTAGCAGGAGCAACACCTACACTAATGAAGCCCTAATGACATGCAAATTGCTTTGGGAGGAAGCTTCAGAAACAGCAGAACAGTTTGCAGAATGACTGATGGAATAGCACAGAGGAATCCCTTGGGAAAGTGGAATACAAAAATAGGATTTGACAGTTGCCGAACGATGAAACTGGAGTTTACATAGGTATAGGTATAGACAGAGTTCCGGCACCTTTTCTCGACAGATTTTCCAAGTTTTAAAAATAACTTTTGAAAATTTGATGTTTGGTCCAAGTGGATTTGAATTGCCCTGTCGAGTGTAGCAGGTCGGCGGCAAAATCATTAAAACGATGCATGCGGGCTGCCTGTGTGCCAAATCCAATGCATGCGTCCTTCGTCCGCGCTGGTTGTGATGGTGCTGCTCAGCTTGTGACTGGTCATGTGGTCACGCGCTGAGTGTTTACTGTGGGTGGCAACCATTATGTTTCATTACACAACTGACGTGTGTGGGTGTGTGTACAGTGATTGACTACGTGCAAAAGGTAAATAATTTCATGAGTTCTGACACCCTTTTTCTTACAAAAAAAGCACTGGATATAGGTATATAACCATTACTTCACTCTCTTCTGACTTGCTCTGCCCTATAACTTAGAAGTTTCATTAATGGGAATAACTGATTCTCATAGCCTAACACATCTGCATGGCTTGAAAAAAGTCTCTGTAGTCTCGTTCAACAGAATCATATTCCCATCCAATGTGGGCACAGGTCCCTCTTCCTCTTCCACATTTCCAAAACACCGAGAGAGAGAGGGTGGGGGGGGGGGAGAGGTGTAGTGGTTAAGAGGGCAGGAATGGGACTCCAGGGGTCTGGTTTCTAGCCCCCACTCAGCCATGGAGTTCACTGGGTGACTTTGCCCCAGCTCAACCCAACTCACAAGGTTGTTGTTATGAGGATAAGATTGAGAGGAGGAGAATTATATAAGCTACCTTGAATTCCTTAAAAGGAAAGAAGGTGGCATATAACTACAATAAATTAAATAAACAAATTAAATAGATAAATAATAGCACCTTCCCCAACCAGGTGCTCTCCAGATGTGCTGGATTACAATCCCCTTCATTCTCAGCCAATACATGTCTTGCTGATTTATTCCCCACACTTATTCCCTTTCTAAATTAGATAAAAAAACATTTTTTCTGCCAGTGCTGCCTTTTTCTATTATTTTTCATCATGACTAACTTGCAAGAGGAAAAAAGGAAGGAATTAAAGGCAAGGCAGGTAGCAATAAATAATCGTAGTAAACTGCATATCTGAGAGAACAATCTGCTTTTCTTATAAGAATTAGTAACTTTTCAAAAGAAGCAAGAGATTTTGCTCCTAGCATATTTTGAATGTTGTTTCCAACTTGCAAATGTTTGCTTGTTTGTTTAAAACTTTTCTAGACTGTCCCTTACTGTAGTCTTGGGATGGTTTAACAATAGGACAATATAAAACAAAACAAAACACAATAAAACATCTTATCACGCAAATGCCGACAGGATGGTGAACGCATGCTGGTTGGGTATGCGGTTTGGGCGTATGACATCCTCGGGCAGCGATGCTGCATCCCAGCTTGCCCCACAGCCTCTCGTGCGATGCCTCTGCAGCCTTTTGGGAACTCAGGACTGAGGTCCTGCACTCAGATTCCTGGAGATCTAATTCTGAAAGGCACGATTGCCTGCTGTCCTGATGAGTCTACTGATCTACTTTTTTCCAAAGGTGCCATCTGTTGCTTCTCCCTCTCTCTCTCCCTCCCTCTCTCTCTCTGCTTACCCTGGGCTTTGAGGTTAATTCTCAACACCTGACCAGTTTTAACTTGCTGAGTCCATTATCAGATTAAGGACAAAAGACAATCACATCCAGAGAAGTCACCTCCTTCTGGCAAAGACCTCTTTGGGCAGAGAAGTGGATACTGCAGAAGCCATCATCTCTCCAACTCAGACAGATGTATCTCTAAAACCCAGTGGAACTTTGGAGGGGGAGACGCATCAAAAGAGGTAGGCTTACTTTCTTTCACAGGTTGGATTCTTGGTGCTGGGAAGTGCCCCTTGAAATTGCATTCAGTTAGCCTGCACACAGAAGCTTGGAAGAAAGTCTAATTTATTTCGAAGGGGAGCAAATTTACAAGTAAGTGGCATTGAGGATTACAGCCTTATACCCCAACACACTAGCTGCAGTCTGCAGGCCAAGACAGGTTTGTTTCTTCCACCAGCCATTGGCTAGGAAAGAAGATTGTTGTAAGAAGACCTGAAAGTGACAGGGACTTTCCATGCAGAAGGCTGCTGGTTCAGTCCCCTGCTTCTCCGGGTAGGGCTGAGAGAGAAACCTTGGAGAGCAGCAGCTACTTGGACTAGATGGACTAGGGCAAGGCAGCTTTCTCTGTTTCTGGGCCTGCACACACACCACACTGGCACACCCATGCCTTATTGGGATTGGTGCACATCGCAGGCAACAACGCCTCTGCTATGACGTCGCCTCACAAAAGTCAAGGCTTTCATTGTACAGTGAAAAGCTCTCACAGTACAACATGGAGCATAAAAGTGTATCCATGTCGTTCCATAATGTACTTCAACTTGGTGGGGTGGATCTAGACTATGACTGCGTTTAGGCAACATGAAAACCTACATTTCAGGGTGGAATATGGGTCGATTGTGAGTTGTTGGGTAGTCAGGATGCCTGAACAAAACTGGGATAACAAGCCATTGTGAGAAACCCACAGTTGACAACCCAATAACAAACCAAGGGTTCTTTTCATGGATTGTTTATGGTTAACAAGCTATAGCTTGTTAGTACAGCTGGAGTCAGAAAACATGATAACGCACCTTCTAACAATGACCCATGATTCAATGACAACCCACACTCAACCCTTCCATGTGGGCAATTGTGTGTCTGAACCCAGTCTCTATTTGTTTCATTTAGTTTTCACTGAAACCAACAGTACATAAGGCATGACTGACCTAACCCATGTTGCTCAATTAGTCTGGATGCAACCTTTTCGAGGAACATCGGCCAACAAGACTATCCCTTGCCTTCAGCCTTGCTGTACAAAAGAAGGCAGGCCTCAGCCAGTAACGAGTGAGTGTGCATCCAG